TACGAGGCGAAGCACCACGAGGTGTGTTTATACTTTAGTGTCGATAGCAGTGAGCTAGGTCTCACGTCTACAGAAGATTGTAACATTGTATACAACTGAGGCTGAGTATGTCATAGAACTAAAGCAATCAAAGAATTGATTTAGTTGACTGGGTGCCTGGAAGAGTTGGATCTGAAGCAAGGGAAATGAGTTCTTTATTGTGATAGCCAGAACGCTATACATCTTGCAAAGAATCCAGTATATCATGCCAGAATAAAGCACATCGACGTACGATACCATTTCATACGCTCGCTGATTGAGGACGGAAAGTTACAGATAAAGAAGATTTTGGGGAGTCAAAATCCTACGGATATGTTAACGAAAGCAGTGACCATCGAGAAACTAGAGTTGTGCGCAACTTATAGTTGGCCTTCAAGATTAGAAGATGAAGGCAAAACCACACTAGGAGGATCGGCGGGATCGCTGAGATGATGATGATTGAAAAATGGTTTTCTACCGAGTAGAAGAAGAAGCTTGCAAAGAAGGCAGGGGTTCGGGAGAGCTCGTTGATGGCGGTGTCGTCTCCAAGTGGGAGATTGTTGGTTTTGATGGTGTGAAGATCGAAACCTGAACGAGACTGAGAAGCTGGAAATTCTCGAGTTGGTCGACCGTCACAGATGGTCTTGTCGACCGCGAACCCTGTAGGAAACTGATAAGAAAACAGGTATCTGGTCGGTCGACTGGGCGGTTGACCAAAAACGTGCACACAAACCCTGTAAAAATCGACGCTCTGGCCAGTCGACCGCGGGACAAGGCCCGATCAACCGGCGATGGGTTTTCTAGTTTCCAAATCTGTTTGAGATTCTGCTTTGAGTTGGAATCCTATATATACCTAAACGTTTTTTAGGGTTTCTTATGCATTGAAAAGAGAGCTTTTGGGAGATCTTAGAGAAATTAAACCCTATTTGTGAGATTGTAATCTTTCTTCAATTAATCAAAAGAATTGTGTGGTGTGGCTCCCGAGGACGTAGACATGTTGCCAAACCTCGTTAATCTGGTGTGTTCTTTCTTGTTTACTTTCCTGCAAGCTTTTATCTTTTATTTGTGGTGAATTTTTGCTTGCTAAACTTTCAACACAAGGTCCGGAAGGACAAGTGTTCGATTTGATTGTTTTGAATCTCCAACACCGCTGCCAAAAAAATCAAGGTGTTAGAGAGATATGAGGGTCAATATTTTTATAAAATAGGAGGGAGAAAACGGTCACTGAAGAGAGAAATTATTGAAGAACCTCAAGGGGCCGAGTGAGATAATGGAGTACCCTAGGAAACCAATAACCCTGGCCCTAAACTTATTTTGCGAAGAGTTTGAGAATATAACAACATTAGACATGAAACTCCTATGTTAATATATCTTTACTCCTTGTTTGATACACATGAATAAGTGTGATCCCAACTTCTCATTCATGGCTACCAAACATGATGTGTTTTTGGATGCTAGAAATTAATATTATTTCCACTTTTCATCAATTCTCACTTAATGTAGGAATTGCTATTCCTAGTGAGTTATTAAAAATTGATATTCTCGCTTAAGTAAGAATGAAAATAATAAAATAAGTTTCGGATACACCATTCTTAAAAATATTCCCACTTAATTTTCAAATCACATCCAAACATGAAAATTAGGAATGGGCATTCCATTATATTCCCACATTAATTTTATTCTATTAATACATTCATTCCATTCTCACTTGAACTCGTTCATGTGTATTAGACGAGGCGTTAGAGTGTGAGGGTAACTTTCCCTAATAGAGACTTCCAAGATATAGCAACACTGCCAAGCATAAAAACAAATCTAAAAGTGGACTTCACATTATCAGAATTAGTGATCCAGATAGCATCACTATACCCTTCAATCACGTCAAGGTATCCAATATAAGTTGAACAATACTCTATTTTACCTCTCAAATACGAAACCCTTTCTAAGGCATTCTAGTGTTCCTCACTTGGGTTATTAGTGTATCTACTTAGTCTACCTACTGCGTAAGCAATGTCAAGTCTTGTTTGGTTTGTCACATAAAGAAGAGAGCATATCAATTGTGAACATCTATTTTGGGATATAGGTTCCCCATCATATTTGTTCAAGGTGATTGAGGAATCATAAGGTGTAGTCACATGTTTGCACTAATGAAATTCAAATTTCTCTAACATTTTCTCTGTGCTAGGGGAGAGGCTCAAAGAAATGCCTTTTGAAGTTTCGGAGGTTTTCATTCCAAGAATTAAATCAGCTTCTCCAAGATCTTTCATGTCAAAGTTCTTTGGCAAATGATCTTTAGCTTCTAGAATGACTTCGATTGAGGTCCAAAAGATGAGAATATCAAGTTTAGAAATGAGGTAGGGGTATTAAAGTGTAATTAATCATTTTTATTAAGAGAGAGAGATCTTAAAAATTAGAATCCCTCTCTAAGTCCTGCCGACGCATTCAGAGGAGAGCACATGGGAGCTGCTGGTGCTGCAGCAGCTCAGACCCTGTAGTCAAAATTTTGCCCCATTCCTTTTCAAAACAGACTCGTGAGAAAAAAGAAATGATTTGTGTGCAATTGCAATTTGCATGAAAGCCCATTGCGATTGTAGATATTATATTACAGGATTTTTCTTTTCCCACTCACTAGTGTGCACCCCGTGCAAAGCACGACCTCCATTTTTTTTTAATTTCTTCTATAGTAATTCTGTATTTAAATACATTTTTTTATAATTGCTACATTAACATTTTTAAATGCTACAGTATCCCGCTGATCTACAATAATAACGCTACAGTGATGTTTTTTAAACACTAACTACTGTTCCGTCTTTGCTACAATAAAAAATACTACAGTAATTTACAATCGTGTTGAACTCGCTGAGATGTATCGTGAAGGAACATCCTTCTGCCATCTTGAGGTTGAATAGCGTCTTGACGAGATACACCTTATTTGCAGCTGACGGTTGCTCGTACATCATTACGAACGTTTCCATAAGCCCCATTGTCGTCTTCTCCTTTAATTATTGTGTGTTACAGATTTTACGAGGGCCAATCGAACCTGCCCCAATACTTTTCGATCCAATAGTTCCCAATCCTCGTCGGTCTTATCCTTCTTCTTTTCTTTTGGTTTACCCATCAACGGACGATAAAGATCCTTCTGGTACAGATAGTGCTTCATCTGTGACTTCCAGTAGGCAATATCTGACCCATCAAACTTCTTAATTTTAGATTTGCCTTCTTCTGTCATTTCTCACACACACAAATCTGAACAAGAGCTCTGATACCAGTTGTTGGAGATTTAAGCTACTTGACCACCTGTCAAATATGAACCCTCGTGCGGAATTTGCCCTACCGGATTTTGTGTTAAGACAATAGAAAAAAGAAATCACAGCACATTAAAATAATTGTAAGAAAAGGAGAACACCGAGTTTTAACGAGGTTCGGCAACTTGCCTACGTCCTCGGGAGCCACAACCGAGTTTTAACGAGGTTCGGCAACTTGCCTACGTCCTCGGGAGCCACACAAATAATTTCCTTTATATCAAAGAAGATTACAAAGGTTCGGCAACTTGCCTACGTCCTCGGGAGCCACACAAATAATTTCCTTTATATCAAAGAAGATTACAAGCTTACAAAGAGAAGATCTCAAACTTGAGATCTCTTAAAAAAGAGAAGCAAACAAAAATTATCTGTTCTTCTAATAAGGTGTAAGACTTTACAACTTGTAAAATCTCTTCTCAAGTCGCTGTGAAAAATCGTACAGGAATCACAAGAATTTTTCTCTGAAAAATTTTCCGCTACAAGAGCTTCTCAATAAATAGTCGTCGCCTCAAAATTAAATCGCTCTTGAGAAATCTCTTCTTCTCTTTCTCTCGTGTACATGGTTCCCTTAAATAGGGAAACCCTAGCTACAACTGTTGACAGGCTGTCGACAACTGCGCTCAAAAAACTCGCCCGCGTGAGACGCCTCGAGCTCGCCTACAGAAGGAGCCCTCTCGAGCTCGCCTGACCTTATCAACTTCGAATGGACCTCGCCTGAAGGTCACCCCGCCCACATCATTGACCTCGTCAGAAGCTCGCCCACGCTCGACCTCGCCTGTAGCTGGCCACGAGCTCGCCTGGATCTCGTCGAGCTCGCATGAAGGTCGCCCGAGGAGCTCGCCTGACAGGCTTGGGTCTACACCCATTTTCCAACAATATTTTGTTACTAGAGGGATTCTTATAAACCTTTTTTATTTACAAAAAAAAAAACGGAAAGAAAAAAGAAATGATAAATAGCACTTACGCATGGCAACTTTGTAATTGTTCCTGCTTTGCACTCATATACTCTTATTTGTTTTCAATAGAATTTATATCCCTTGAAGTTTTCTAAAACTTGCATTTTCATACCTTTTGTTATACAAACATTGGAAATTTCCAAAAATGTGTTTATGTGTGCACTGAAAAGCCAATTTAGAACCATTTGAACTTAAAATTTCCATTGAATTTACTGTTAAACACGACTTTAATTATACTTTATAAGTAAAAAATTGTGAAAATTTAACAGCAAATTTAGCAAACATTAATGGCAGAAAAGTTTTTAAGTTTGCTTGCAAGTATGGCGTGGTAAGATCCGGGAGAAAATTTTCAGTTTTGCATAACCGAAGAAGGTATTAAAGTATAAATTTTTAAAAAGTTTAAGTGCTATTTAGTTTAGGTCATTTAAGCATTGCAGAAATTAAGTGGCGGTGTACAAGTGCGAAGTATGGAAAGTATAAGGTAGTTAAGTGCTATTTAGCCAGAGGAATACCCCCGTCTCTTAAAAGTGGCGGTGTACAAGTATTAAAGTGGCGGTGTACAAGTGCGAAGTATGGAAAGTATAAGGTATTAAAGTAAAAAATTTGAAAAGTTTAGGTCATTTAAGCATTGCAGAAATTAAGTGGCGGTGTACAAGTGCGAAGAATGGAAAGTATAAGGTAGTTAAGTGCTATTTAGCCAGAGGAATCCCCCCGTCTCTTAAATTAGCTCCTCTCAATTTCAAGTCTAAGATTCGCGAAAACGCTCCCCAAAAAGGAGAGGCCGCTCTCAATCCTCTTCCTCTCTGAGCGAATCGAGAGAGAAGAGAAGAGAAAAGATGCAGATCTTTGTGAAAACCCTAACTGGAAAGACGATCACGCTCGAGGTCGAGAGCAGCGACACCATCGACAATGTCAAAGCCAAGATCCAGGACAACCCCCCCCCCCCCCCCTCAATCTAGGGTTTTTTTTAACTCTCTCGTCGCTCTTTTTGATGAATTTATGTTGCAGTGCTAGGGTTTTTATTGATGTCATGTTTTTTTTAATTATCTAGGGTTTGTGAATTAGGGTTTAAGGGGTTAGAATCTTAAGTTACTTATCACGTGACGCGCTTGTTTTGAGAAACAATCTAACCTCGCCACAACTAGGCATAGTCATTTTAAATCTAAAAAAAAAAAAATTAAAATATGATAGGCATACAGCACGCCGAATTGGGTTTGGTCATGTCGCACTGAGCTCTGATCAGGCTGTGGTCAATCCTAGGGTTTGGTCATGTCGCACTGAGCTCAGATCAGGCTGTGGTCAATCCTAGCACACCTCAATTTAGGGTTTAAGGGGTTTTCATCCAGTTGCTGCGAAACGATCTTTTGATAGGGATAGAATTTCAAGTTTTCATGAGATATACTCGTGTTAGGAGGTGAGAAACAGACTAATCATACCAAATCAAGCTTCCAGGTATGAGGGAACTGTTGGGTTGGGCTGTTCATAGTTTAGGTCAAGTTAGATCGATTGTTCATTCCATAGTGGGTCATTGCGTTTACAAGTTAGAAGAAAGAAATGACTCAGTGTGTTGATATCTTATAATTCTGAGATTCTCAGACATTTTCATGGAGATCAGTTTTCACCGTTGAGTACATATTAACACCCAATGCAAGTAGAAGAGCGCATATGGTCATTAAATGATGTTAATTCTTGATTTAGTTGTTTAACAGTACCTATTCCCATGTATAAGATGGTCGTTGAAACACACAATGATACAATATGATGTTGAAAGCAACGAGGAGGAAGATATCACAAGTGGAACAAGAATAAATATACCAACCTCAAATCCCCTTTACAAAGTATACATTGAAGAAGAATCCACCTTCAAGAAGGGTAACGGAGAGAACACTCTGAAAAGCTTCCTTTACATGGCAAGTACTCGCAGCTCATTAATATGTTTCTCAAGTTTCTAAGGGCCATTCTTTTCTTCTAGGCACATTTAATTAGTGACCTTCTCATTCTCCAAAAAGTCAACACACTTCCTAAACACACAAAATTTCAAGAGACTCAACTTTCTTAGAGAATGACCAACCACCAGTAACAAATATTACACGCTCCAAAGAAGATTTAAGGAGGCTTCATGTGAAAAAGAGATCATGATTTGACCTTAAAAGTAGTTTCTTAACCCACTAGGCTGTTACACTCATTCGTTGCTGGGAGAAAATTGATCTTCAAGTTCATGGCTTCCTTCTCCATGATAGGATGGCAGGTTTGCCGCATTTTAGCTAGCTAAAACTCCGTAGTCCCAGGTAGAGTTCTAGTTTGCATGCATGGTTACCAATTTGCTTTGAATTTTTGAAGTGACTATTCATCCTTGGCTTGAGTTTGCCATGTTAACCTTGTGGAATTTGCCTTGAAAGTCATTTGCTTGCAGTGGTTGTTGGTGATACTTCTTTTACTTGATTATGTGATCGTTAACTTGTCCATACAATTCCATCATATGCTTGCTTTCCTCTGATGATAGAGAAACCACAAGGCGAAGATGTCCTTTGGTAGTGAACCAGGAGCAATACGCTATAAGGTTTGGTCAAACTAATGTAATTTATTTGTAGCTCACTGTCTCCTATGTTCTATATTTCCATCTCGCGCCCTCTCTTTGGCTATGAGGCTATAAGGGTTTGGCCAAGTGTTTTATATCACTCTCACTACTATAGTGCTGTGCGGATGTGTCTGGTCACGTAGCAGTCTAAGGATTATAGTTCTTGAACATAAAGTAGAAAACTACATAGTTGCTTTTAGTAAACTTAATGTCTTTACTCCTGGTCAGCTTATTAGTCTGGTAAAATTTTGAATCTTTTGATGTTCATTACTTGGTAAGCTGTTATGATTTTCCATACTCATCAACTGCGGTTATCCCCTTACCCATTGGCTTGTCTATGCTTGTGATGTCCTCAATGGGCAGCGGGCAATGGTAATGTAGATCATGAATAGACACTTCCAAATTAAACCCAATTTTGTAGTAGAATTGATGTGTAATATTGGAACTGATTTTCGTTGAGTTGGATAAAACCAATTGAATAGTATTATTAGCTTAAGCTCTGACTTCTGAAACTTCACTGCCTAAATTGATCTTAATATTCCTTGGTATAGAAGGTCTTCTTTGTTTAGAATTACCTTTCAAATGATATTGTTACCTTTTGGTCATTTGCGAGAGAGCAAGGCAGAGAGGCAAAGAGCAATTGAGGTGGGTTGAGACACAGTGCAAAGGTACGACAAGAAGACCTCGCAAATGCTCACACACTGAAGAAAGAAAGAAAGAAAAAAAAAGAAAAAAAGAAAGAAAAAAGAACACCCACCCGTTACATCTACGCTAAGAACTAACACTCTGCTAAGATCAACGACTGATGCATGTTGATTTCATGTGAAAATTATGAAACTGTGATTTCTGATGCTTCTTAACAGAGCTTGATGGGGAACATGATTCCACTTCCCTGTCCCTCATAAGGTGCCTTAAATATGACCACAATTCCCTACGATAAAGTTCTCTTTTTGCTTCATTGTCTATAACATTTCTAGTCTTTTGAATTGAATGATTGCTTGGTGATTTTCTTGAGCTTAGACTCCATCACCAAGAAAAGGCTGTACTTATCTCTGAACTGGCATCAAAGTTTCAATTGGAAGGTTTTGCCCCCTTTTAGCTTATGGACGAGACTTTCCTTTCTCATAATTGCCTTGGCTCAGAATTTGTCCCCAACTTATTGATATTAGGTTGAAATTAGTCAATAATCAGTCAAAAAACTTGGCCAACTTTTTAGTGGATTTCTCATGGTGTTGAATCATTCTTCATGCACTAGTAGATAACCACTTAACCAGCCTACGGTTATGGTTCATCTGTGATGCTTAAGCAAATGATAATCTCCTCTCATGTGGAGTTATGGTCACACAAAGAAGCCATGGGGCGAAAGATGATTCAAATGGAAAAGTAAGCTATTTGGGATCAATGGTAAGGTTCAATCCAATATATCTTGAAACTTTGTGCTCGAAACCTTGTGCTGTGATACTATTAAAGATAATTGTCTCTTTCCCAAAAAGCATAAGCTAGTAAACACTACAATGGATATAAAATAAACTTTAATATAGATTACACCATGCTGAACTTGGATTTGGAGGCTGTGATGGTGTTAGCTAGAGGATCATGCTTTCTCCTTAAATAATTTAAAAAAATCCTGTTTTTGTATATGAATTTTCTACTTAGAAGGCATGAAGAATACGTGCAAAATTTTGTCAGTGTAACTGATATGGTGAAATCCAAGATATGTTTACCCTATACTCACCAGTGTCAATGGTTTTATCTTTGGTGTTTGATTTTTGAATTACTTGGTTTTGAATCTATACCACATTTCATTCTTTTCTGAAAATAAAAATTTACTGTTATGTAGCTTTTTTCTTTTCAAATTTGTATCCACTGTATTTTATTCAAGGAATGTCAGCTCTGAAGTGAAATTGAAAGGTGTTTAGTTAACTTGATGTGTGAGATGGACTGATGGATATTATTGTATCTTCAATCAATTTATATCTTGAGTTCTACAAACTCAATGATGTATTAATCAAATTTCTGTAAATAACTTATAATATCTATTTCCATCCTCTAGCTCAGACACTTCTTTGCTTTTTGCAATAAAAAATGTGCAAAAGCATCTCCATGACTTTCAACAAGCGAAATTGGGAACTCTAATGATAAAGCATCATGTGGTTCTTTGATTCTTTGAACTATAGGAAATTATTTTGATCTATTTTGAAACAAAGTGGGTAAATGGACGGCATTGCAGGATAAGGAGGGGATACCTCCTGATCAGCAGAGGTTGATTTTTGCTGGAAAACAACTGGAAGATGGTCGCACCCTTGCTGATTACAACATTCAGAAGGAGTCAACACTTCATCTTGTTCTCAGGCTGAGGGGTGGAACAATGATCAAGGTGAAGACGCTTACTGGAAAGGAAATTGAAATTGATATTGAGCCCACTGATACCATTGATAGGATCAAGGAGCGGGTTGAGGAGAAAGAAGGGATTCCACCTGTGCAACAGAGGTACCACTCCTAAGTTTCTTTGAAAATTTTAATTTATTATGCCTAACTCTTGTTGATCTTAATTTAATTCTATACATGTTCATCTATGGTTTTGAATTTAAAATTCGGATTTTTACGCTATTTGGTTGCCTCTGAAGACTTGGTAAGATGACTGTAGTGCAGTTCACTATTGGCTTTATGCTAAAACACTTTGTTTGCCGATGTTAATGCTTATTGAATCTCCTTGACTTTGAGCACTTCTACTTGTACCTACTGCTTAAAACATGTCAAAGTTTGAGTGGCATTAAGGAGATTAAATTCAAAGAATTTTGCAATAAAATATTTCTTCATCTCAATCGATGTTTGTCAATTTGGTTGAAACTGGTTCATCTAGAGATCAGCACGTTCTGATATCAATCCTTGTTAATAACTTGAGTTTCTTGCGGGGGGTTCTTATGAAATATTTTCTTATGAAATAAACTTCATTTAAAAAGCTTTCTGAGATGTTGTTCATGTTGAGCTATGGTGTGAATTTTGTTGAGCGTGATAATAGGACTCTATGATTTCACCTGCATGATTTAAGTACATTGAGCGTGATATATAGGTCTCCATGCTGTCATCTGCATGATTTAAGTACATGCTTTATTTACTTGATTTTGTATCTCGAGCGGCAAGAGGGTAAAACTTTGTCGGCTGTGACTTGCGGGATGCTTTTGGCTAGAAAAGCTAGGCTAAAGTTAAGATCAAGCTCGAAGCAACTTTTTGCAAACACACAAAAAGGTACAAGGTTCATGGAAAAATGGATAGATGGGAGTATAAGTGCATCATTGATGTTTTCTGACGCTAACCATCACGTGCCTTCCAGGTCATGATTAGCAAACTCCTTCCTTGAAGACCCCAATACCTGTACCCACATGGATGTCATTCTTGGTTTACTGAAGACAAGACAGGGTTATGAATCTTATGATTCTTTTACCCACATCTTTAGGTTTTTGGCTAGATAAGTTAAGGGGTGAGAATTGTGCATTTTTACAAGTGAAGTAGAATTGCGAGCTCATCTCCCATCAGGAGTTGGATTAATTCTGGAAGTGAGTTTATAACTCTAGGATCTCTAACTAATGCAGGATGAGGCTCGTGTGAATATTTTTTTGAAGTGACAATATTATCCTTGACCTCTTAGACATAATTTGTGTTTGGCAAGAGTTGACCTCGACTCTATGCTGACTCTTGTCACGTTTATTTTTTGTGTGGGATAAAATTGAATTTGACGATTCTACGCAGGAGTCATTGTGATCTTTTATTCTTGAACAAAATTTGCAAAAGGTTGCATTTTATTGTTGTGCAAAAAATTATTTATGACAGTTCTTCTCTGAAAGGTCCTATAATCTATGAGAGTACTAATTACCCACGCATGAACCATTTATTTCATGAAGACTCTGTAGCTGCAACCTATATCATCATTAATTTAGGCTGGATATTAGTTACTTTGAGATAATTCTTTTCACGTACTTTCCTCGACAAGTATGTGTCTTTCCTTAAACCACTCTTTAACCGTAAATCTGAGCTTTGCTGCGAACGTGAAGGCCATAACACTTTGGTAGTTAGTTGTGATCTGTTATAAAATAGCCTCATTATTATTAGATTCTCTTGCCCCCTTTTGCTTCATATTATGATGATCTGAATTTCTTTTCCAGGCTCATTTATGCAGGTAAGCAGCTTGCTGATGACAAAACTGCTAAGGAATACAACATTGAGGGTGGTTCTGTCCTTCATCTTGTGCTTGCTCTCAGGGGAGGTCACTAGTCACTGCTTGCATTTTCCCATATAAAATTATCTACCGAGAAACCATCGTTTGGTATGATGATTATATATCTCTACGCTTTTCTCGGTGTATAAGACCATATAAAAACAAACCATATCGCACTTAAAATTGCAAATTTTAATTTGTTCAGGTCATTACTCTCTATGGAACGTTGCGAATTGTTCTGTGTTTTATGCCTCTATCTGACTCTTTGGTTTCTGTTTCTGAAGGTTCCATGCACTTGTTTTTGCCTTTCGTCTTGTTACGATGCTTGTAGTATTTTATTTGCTCGCTGAAGGGAAGCTGGTTCTGTAGAAAGTTTGGAAACCTGTGTTGAGAAAATATGACGTCTTTTCTTGAATGCACATAAATCATAGGATGTTGCCTGCAGTTTCACTGGCTTTATTAGATATGTATATCTAGTTTTCTTTTGCGGGTTCGTTTCTAGTGTATTTGGGTGGAGCCATTATTAAGAGAGCAATATGTGAAAGTAACTACAGTTGTAGATCTAATAATAACATCGGGTTTGAACATTCAGGGAATGTTTATTTGCTTGGAAGTAGCTGAAGTAAAAAAAGTAGGAACTATTTTTGCTATTTCTGAGAAGAAACGTAAGGAAAAGTTACTTTAGGTATTTCCTTAAAAGCTAGCATGCCACTTATATGTCGTCTCTACTTCTTACCTTTTTTTTTTCATACTCTCAATGCTCGGAAGTAGTTGAAATTATGTCAATTTAGGAATATAATTATTTTTTTATTGCATTAATAATTTTTATTTCTAAATAAAATCCAGAAAGATCCTCTTTCTCACTTTCTTAACTGCTATTAATGGCCTGTTTGGTTGATATGAAGTATCAGAAGTAAGAAGTAAATTAAATCTATTACTTCAAAAATTGTGAAGTAGAAAGTAGCAGAAGTATTATTTTTTATTTATTTTATAAATTATTGGAAATAGAGGACACAATATTTCTTCCACTTTATTTATTTTTTTGTTTGGTAGCAAGTAAATATTGTTAGAAGAGAGAAAGAGGGTCTTTCGGGATTTCATTTAGAAATAGAGAATATCTATGCAATAACAAAAATAATTTTATTCCCAAATTGACTCAATTTCAGCTGTTTTCGAGATACTTCCAAGTCTTGAGAGGAAGAAAAAGATCCAAGAAGCAGAGATGACACATAAGCGTGATGTCAGCTTTTAAGGAAGTATCGAGAAGTATCGACATTAGCTTTTTCAAGAAAAAAAATATAATTTTATTCTAAAAATAGCAGAAATAGCTCATTATTCCTTTACTTCAGCTACTTTATAGCTACTTCCGTGCAACAAACTTGCCCTAAACAAAAAAAGTGCATAAAGTGGCAGAACCAATATTTCCTCTGCGTACGAAAAAATTCATGAAAAAAAAGTACTACGTTTACTTCTACCTCTCAATTTTAGAAGTGATAAATTTTCTTCACTTCTTATTTCTTATACTCATATTAGGGCTGTCCAAAAAGCTCGTCGACCCGGGTCTGGCTTGGGCTTGGTCAGGCTGGAACCCGGCTCGGCCCGAGGTTGGCCCAGAAACCCGGGCCAGACTTGGGTCATGGCCCGGGCTCGGTCGGGCACGGAAAACCGGGTCGGGCGGCTCGGACCCGGAGCCCGGCCTGATCACCCAGGGTGACCGTTGCGAGAAGGCCTGGTCGGCCCGGCCCGGCCATAACAATGACAAATGTGACCGTTTTGGCCGGCCCGGCCCGATCAAAACGGTCATATTGGCCATTTTGACTGTTTTGATCCTTAAAACGGTAAAAAAAACAGTTATTTTGTGAGGTTTTTTTGGTCATTTGACTAGGAGGCTGCTTCTATAAATAGAGGGGGTTTTCACTTCTTCTCCTCACACCAAAACTCATCTACTTCTCTCTAATACTCTCTTATACAATCTTATACTCTCTAACAATCTCTTATTATTTCTAATCCTTCTATCAAATGGCTTTCGAATCTGATTATGAGGAGCAAAACCTATCTCCTACCGATCTTGAAATTAGTCCTCCTATAACAGCTACTCCTACCGATCCTACCAGTGTTAATCCCGAATCCGGTGGCGGACGAATCTGCACCAAGAGCTCCTAAAAGGTCGGGATTTGATGTGTGGAATTTTTTTGAGAAGATAGACGTCACTAAGGATGAACACGGTAGGATCCTCACCCAGAAGGCTAAATGTGCCTTGTGCAGCTAGACTTTCCAAGCTCATCATAAAAGCGGCACCAACCACCTCAAACGTCATATAGAAAAACACAACAAAGACCGGAATCCTCAAGGTGATATCTGACAATCTATAATTTCCCAATCCTCCTCTTCTGGTAGTCTCGGTAGTTGGAATTATGACGCTGCCCGAGTCAGGAAATGCGTAATCAGGTTCATCATTCTTAAAAACATTCCTTTTAAATTAGTAGAAGATGAATTTGAAGATATGTTTAGAGATGATTTTTATCCCGCATTTACAAAATTTTCTCGTCAAACATGTCAACGTGATATTTTAAAACATTATCAGGAACAAGGAAAATAATTTCTTATTTTAAAAATTTTAAACTGTAAATTTTCTTTAACTTCTGATATTTGGACATCTAGAGCACAAACTTGTTATTTATGTATCACAACACACTGGATTAATAAAAATTGGCAAATATTTAAAATAGTTGTTTTCTTTATTACAATTGAAGAGTCACATACTGATATTAATATTACAAATTTAATAATTGAAGAACTTATAAAACTTGAAATTGATCAAAGAATATTTTCTCTTTCACTAGATAATACAAGTAATAACAATGTAGCTGCTGATTTTATCAAAACAACTCTGTCATTACCATATCATGGTGATCTTTTTCATATTAGATGTATCTGTTATGTTTTAAATTTAATTGTTCAAAGTGCATTTACTGAAATTAAATCAATGATAGAAAAGATTAGAATAGTTGCTAATATGCATAATGCTTCTGAACAAAGAATTAAAAGATGAAAATAATTTTACAAAAGAAAAAATTATAAGTCCAGACTAATTCCAAAAGATGTTGACCATAGGTAGAATTCCACATATGCAATGTTAAGTATGGCAATAGAATATAAATAAAATATAAATAATTTTATAAATTATTATGCTTCTAGTTCTAGCTCTGGTAGCACTTATGGAATAACTAAAAATGAATGGATAATTATATGTAATTTAAATGAGATGTTACAAGTTTTTATGACGCTACAATGTTATTATCTGGTTGTTATTATCCAACAATTACTTTAGCTGCTTTACAAATGTTAAATATTTAATTTTTTTAACAAATATCGTATGAATGATACTTATGAAACTATAATTTTTTAAATGGAGAGCAAATTTAATAAGTATTTTAGGCCTATTCCTCATATTTTTGGTTTCGGGTTCTTATTGATCCATGTTTGAAGGATATTGGCCTTCGAAGTTTGTTACAATCATTGTATGGTGGACAGATTATAGACCTAGATGATGGATCCACCATTACTGCTACTTCTCATCATTTAGCTATTAGAAATTATTTTCAAACCTTATATGATGAGTATGCAGCTAGACATGGTGTAGCTGCACAACAATCTACAGCTTCGACGCTTTCAAGCTCAGGCCGAGGTAAAAGTGTAAGTTTTGATAGATATGCAATGATAGCTGAGCTAACTGGTGGATCTGAATTTGGATCATCGTTAGAGGTTTCTAAAATAGATGAATATTTATCTGCTTCCTTAATTAAATATCAAGGAAATGCTTTAGATATTTTGCAATTGTGGAGAGTATATGGATCTGTTTTATATCATATACTTTCCACCATGGTTCGTGACTTACTAACAGTGCATGTTTCGACGGTAGCTTCGGAATCCGCCTTCAGCACAGCAGGACGTTTGATCGACGACCATAGGACATGCTTAGATCTGTATACTGTACAAGCAGTGATGTGCTTACAAGATTGGTGGAGGTACGAGAAGCGAACGCAAGGCATCGATCGGATGGTTGGAATTAAAGATAAATTTGAAGAGTTGGGACTAGCAGATAGATATAAAGATTAAACAATATTCATCAAATTGTAATTTTTATTTCTTAGCTTTAAATTTATAATGAATTATTTTGGAAACAGTTGCAAATGATAATGATATAGGTGAGTAGGTACCAACCTAGTTGGGATGTACTCATCTATTGTGATGCGACGAATTCCGAAATGTTGGGATGTACTCATCTATTGTGATGCGACGAATTCCGAAATAAATTTATACTTGTAAAGGATTTACTGATTATTAATAAAGAAAATTTATACTTGTAAAGGATTTACTGATTATTAATAAAGAAGTTATTTTTATCATTTTTTATTTTTATAATTTTTTGTATTTGTAATTTATGTCATTTCAAATTATTAATAATATTATTATTTTTTATTAGCATTTTCTATAATTTTTATGTATATTTTAAATTTTAAAGAGATTTAAAAAAAATAAAAAAGTTTAAAAACCTGGGGTACGCCATTGCAAAACACTAGAATAAAGTATTGGAACACTATTATCTAATTTAGATTTTATATAGATGCCTATTTCTGTACATTTGCAAAACAACGATACATCATACATGGATGCATGATGTATAAATTGTTAAAAGTTCATGTAGTACGGTATAAATGAAAATAAAAAATATATGTGTGTTTTTAAGACAAATGTCAAACAAAAAAAAACCCCTCACGTTTGTCTTTCTTTTTTCAGTTTTCAAATGCCCACATATTTTATGTTCTTTATTCTCTCATTGGTCACAACTTAAAGCTAATCCAACTTATTCTTTATACCTCAGGCCTCTCATGAGATACCCTCATTAGCCAATAAAACCATCTTATTCCTATCAAAAGCACATTACATCCTCTGCCCTTGAATACAAGCCGTACACTAACCTTGCAGAGTGCATGCTTTGTTGGTGTCTAATCAAACGTTAATTATATCATTAGCATCAGAAATCATATAAATAATAACTAAAGCGAGGCTTGGAGGCATGAATTGTCGACACATCTCCAAAGCTAAAGAAGACATATGGCTTCCTTTGGTTACCTTTTTTTTGTCGCAATTTCCAATTGTTGTATTTCTTTTTTGTTTATTGAACTGAAAGAGAAGAGCCTTCTCCTTTAGGTGCGTTCACTTTGATTTAAGGGGATTAATAATTGCAATGATCCAAGAGTTCCATGAGTGACAGAATCAATTGCAACATC